GCTTTGGAAACCCCCCCCCCCCCAACCCCCCCACACACAAAACAACGATAACAAAAACAAACAGACAAAACAACCCATCCCCCCTCCTCCTCCCGATCTTCTATTGTGACAGGCAGCAATGATTACAATTTACCAAAATCTTGCCGCTAGACTCTGGATACATTTTCTTGAAACTATGTGGCATTATTGTACAAATAATGTTGTGTGCAATGCTCGCTTCATCTAGAATTTGCAGCCATTTACAGGAAGATGCTTAACAATTTAATGTGTCCCAAAACGGAAAATGCAAGAGTCTATGGTTTCACAAATAAGCTCTTTAGTGTCGCACGCACAAGGCTTGTGTTCGATTTCCGAGGGGGGGGGGGGGTTATTGAAGTATTTTCTTCTATCTTCTAAGACATTGTATCTTGCCTCGCCCGGCAGCTCGTTTTTTAGTTAACCTCAACTGTGTCGACGAGGGTGTAAAACATTTACAATTACAAATAATCTCTGGAAATAAACTGGCGCACTGTAGTTACTCACTGATGGAGGAGTAGGGAGGCAGGCACGTGTTTTCATTCTCTGCCTTGGAAACAGTCGGAGCTGCCGTCTGAGCTGTTGGTGGCTGCTGTGCGTCCATGAGGGACACAAGGACGAGGAGGACGACTAGGCACAGAGATAACTTCATGTTGAGGTATTGCACGCCACCCTGAGAATACACAGAAAGCATTATAGAGTGTCAGAGCAGAGGCGGGTCAATATTATTATCTTTTGGGTGTCGTTTCTCAATGGGAGTAAAGCCATGCAACATTTGAGAGATACAAAGTTAGAGGCCAAATTTGAAGTTCATTAGAAAAATGAATGCTCCTTGAAATGCAATGTGCATATCGTCATCATGTCGAAAAAAACCCAAAAGACAAACCGGCGCCTCTGTTGTAGCTGTCAGATGTTTTACCGTCACACACAAAAGTGTTCGATTCGCGTGTGGGGAGAACTTTCATCGGTTATAGTATCTCGGTCTTTCTGCTTACACCGTTTATCCCTCTTAACTCAGGTTGGCCGTGACGGGCAGGTTCGAACATCGCCTCTAAAATGTAAAAACATCTACACCTACGCGAGGTGGGTTGGGGGGGGGGGGGGGAAAAG